GAAAAGATTTCTACTTTAGGTAGAGAGCAGGACCAAATCAGTGACCTCAAATCTGGCTCTGTGTTAGTTAAAATTAACTGGAAGACTGTGAAACATTACTGATTTTTAAGGCCTCATCCCAATTGAATCATAATCTGTGGGAGTGGGGACTCGAGAATCCCCTTAGATGATCCTGGTGCCTCACCAGGCTTGGGGTTCGCTGAACTAGATTACTTCCAAGTTGTCTTCTAACTCTCTCATTTAATGATTAGAAGATTATAGAATGTTTTCTTTACCAAAATAAATGAGAAAAATTTATAATCTGCAAAATGAATTTAGTCTAAAGGGACATAGGTAGCTCTAAAATGCCAGCAGACCACCTGGTTTCTTAAACAGATTAAAACCCTCCTTGCAATCTAGGTAATGAAAACTTTTTTCATGTATCATGGGAAGGTAAACTTTATCTGGCCTGTTTCCCAATTATTAAAGTTCCAAATCACTGAAATATAAATAAATGAGACTTTACCGTACTTATAGCACCAGTATGATGAAAAATTTGTTTACACCAGGAGGTTTTAGGTCATCCTTCAATCATTCATCCCCGTAACCAAAGTACATATGCGCGCAAGCACACACGTACACACACACACACACACACACACACACATAAATATGACACATGGTAAATGTTGGGCAATTACTGAGATGGAACAAAGGGGACTTGCAAATTCTATCGCCTTTTTAACCTTATATTTTTCTATGCAAGAATCTAGGAGCCCAAATCAAAGGCATCAAAATAATATTATTAATTATGACATACATACTAAGTTCTTTGTCTCTAATTTCATGTCTTTTAAACACATTAGTTTGGTCTGGGTAGTGCCAAGTTGAGGAGTAAAAAAGAGTACGTGTATTTTAAAATATTAACAAATTTGAAGAGAGCATATTCATTTTGGGTACATTGGTTCCTTATGTGAATGGCTTCTGAAAAGTATACCAGGTAGCCATATGAAGGAACTCTAGTCACTGCAAAAGGGGTAACACTTGTAGATTTTGACTAATCTAAAGTGAAACCTGTAAGGTTCTGTCGGAATTATTTAAAAAAGAATAACTGAAACCCCCTTCAGCACGTTAATTCAGATCCCTCTCATTTTACTTTTCTGGATCACAAGGTATCTTTTTTATCACGGTGTTTTCAAATTGAAGTTCACACACATCAAATAAATAGCATGATAATCAGAGGTTTCAATATCCAATACACATTCATTATTATCTGTCATTATTGTCATTGTCACTATTATAATTGCACGTTGTAAAAAGAATGGAAGCTTTTCCACAGGAATTATTCACATGTATTACTTTCTAGGAGTAATGGAATAGTTGATGTTGCATTTATATCAAAGTAAAATATGTGATGGTTTTTCTCATTTGTTTTATTCTAAAGAAGTAAGAAATGTAGAGTGATCTCTATTAGGCTCCTTTATTTGGATTCAGAAAGGTGCAGTTTTATGTAATGTCCAAATGTATATTTTCTTATAACAAGGCTCAAAAGATGTCCAGTACAACTAAAGTGACAATTTTCTAAGAACACATAAGATAACAGCTGTGTAGTGAAGTTCTCGTCATTAGCTTGTATTTATAGACACAAACTCAACAAGAATCTCGGTGAAAAATATTAATTTTCTTTCTTAACTATGTAATCGGGCTTGGTCTGTTGAAATGAAGCCCACGTTGTACTCTCGGCATCTACAGATTAATAATCACTTACCTTAGAGTTTCTGTAGAACTTTTCACTTCATTTTATATAATCTTCATGACAATCCCTTGAAGAGGCAAGTCAGACACTATTTATCTATTATGAGAAAACAGAGGTTCCAAAAAGCCAAGTAATTTTTACAAAATTACTCTGCCCAACAGCAAAATTAGCCCTAGAATCCAGGTCATCTGGGTCTTAGTCAGAAGTTATGGTAAAAGAAAAATTAAAAAAAGAACAAATTTGAATTTTAAAAAGATCATAGGCCTGGTAACATATGAAGGCCCAGGTCTCAACACAGCTCATGCCACTTTTACTATGAGAACGTTCTCAGCTGCCTGTAAAATGGCTGTTTTGACAGTCATAGAGAAAATGGTGAGAAACCACTCAAACGTGTTTTGTTAGTCTATGTGTTCTTCCTTCTGCACTCTGCTACTTCTCACACGCTTTATCCTACTTTTGGCTTCTGTGTGATTCACCTGCATAAGGTAGAGTTTTAAACTTTCTTTAGACTTAAATAATACCGATATTTGTTTGGAAAATTAAGTGACAACAAGCATTAGAAACAAGATAGTCCAAGTGCAATGCTATAATAAGTGAAATGGATGATGACACGAATGTAATGAAACAGGGTTTTAAATGTGTCTTCACTCACTAAGAAGGCTGTACACGATGAACTTAAAACACTTCTCCACAGAAAACACGCGGCCCATGAGGGTAAGTGGGATTTCCTTTCCTTCCATGTAATTTCTTATCACATTCCCTGAGAAGGCTGGATGGTTTAGAGATCCATCTTGGTTTCTGTGGGGGATGTCGCTGCTGCTATGCTAGCTAGCCCTTTGAATCATGTCATTGTTGGCGGGAGTGAGGGCTGTTGCCATTTTCCAGCTATTCAGTGGCCTAGGATGGGTAGTCCCAGGCCAGTTTCTCAGAGGACAGATGGCAGCAGGTGGCTCTTTGGGAAGAGAGAACAAAGACTCTAGATCCTCTCCTCATCTGCAGAGATGGTCCATCTAAATCACTGTTGAAAATCACCAATGTGGGTTGGTCCAGGGAAGCAGGCTTTATCAATTAATGAAACAAACTTACAAATAAATGTAAGTCATTCATTTGTCTCCATTTGTCATTCATGAAACCCCCTTTAAAAGGAGTACCTTTATTTACATATCATAACAGAAATTTACTTGTATTGCTCTGGTCATACCACTTCATTGAGTCCTTTCCTCTTACATCTAACCATCAATAGTGGTCTCTCTGCCTCTACCAGAACCTGAAAGCAGGTAGACATGTCACATCATGAAAATCACAGAATGGTGCCTTCCAGTTGAACAGCAACGTCGACACAGGGTGACGGATAGCAACCTAAAAAAGAGTATCTGCTCTCATCTTGATTCCTCACAGGCTGGTTGATTATTTGGACTAAAAAAACTACAAGAAGAAAATCATCTTGTAACAGTTTTGTAACCATGCATTTAAGAGATGATATAGCGCATCAGTTATGTATGTTCTCATTCCAGAATACTTACTACACTGAGTTCCCAGAACCCCTCTTTAGCAAACCACCCCGATCACTGCAATCCTCAAAGTATGGAGCTCTTTGCTCTCGTATTCGGCTTTTGTTTCACAACTACACGTCTATAAGGCATATGGGTACAGTTCCAAAGTATTGTGAATTCAAAGAAGTGAGGGGTTTTCTTTGTGACAAAATTAATATTGCGAGCTGCTGTCACATTAGGCGTTCTTCTGTAAGTATGGCTTACGTACTGTCCATGATTCCCTGAGAAGAGTTTCTCCAGAAGGTATTTTTTCTACTGAGGCGTTTACAGTGCATTCAATGGCACCAGAGTTTCATTAAAGGAATTCTCTTGTTCCCTTCCTTCACATGGAAATGTCATTAACTGTATTAAGTTAACTCTCCGAATGTTAGGTTCTTAACCAATAAACAGTGCTTCTCCACAAGGGCGTACTTTGCCAAGCGTCCTTGAATCAGAACGACAGGCTGAATATGTAATAATAGATTCAGAGCCACCAGCGCGGGTTGTGATCATATTTAAGGGGAACCCTTTCGTATTTATTGACTTTTTCCTTCAGTCATGGTTGTTCCGTTTCTTCCACCACCACCTTCAGCCTTTCAGGTAAATGAAAAGTTCAATTATATGTAAAGCGACTGTTAAATCAGCAGGCCCCTTGTGGGGGTCTGGGCCTCCCCTCCCTGCTCCAATCGCAAGTGTGCTCAATCCATTACCCTTCCTGAGGATCGCACATCCATCAGGTCGAGTGTGCCGGCCAGGGTGCATCTTATAGCTTTTACTGCATATGAGACGTTGCAGGCCTGTTCTCAGGAACTGCCAGGCAGACTGGGAATCACAGTCACGGTTAATAGCAGCGAATTGCCAGCTCTTGATGGGTGGGTAGTCACTCCTTTCAGTGGTTGCCCCCTGGGGGAGAAGGTAGAAAAACAGAGGGAGGGAATTAGAGTGACTTTGCACAGTTGAGCAGGTTCATGCCGCTGGATCAGTGGCAAGCATTGGCAGGGCTCCACTCTGGGGAGGCTCAAAACAACCTCACAGTCTCATTTTTACCAATTGGTGCTGCTGTGTCGCCAGTGGTGCCCAGGGATGGGGGTGGGAGCGGGAGAAGCCGGGGAGGGAGGGAGGGAGGGAGGGAGGGGCCCTGGGAAGGAGATGAAGGCAGAAGTCTCCGCTAAATTAAACAAATAGAAAGTCTCCTTGATGATCCTGGTTAACCTACCCCAGTTAGCCCTGTGCTACTAATTGTACCAAACTGGTATTTGAAGTTCCCTGGGTGATTAAAGAGTTGGCTCACAAACTCTCTGCATAACCTTAATTTTTTCAAGGTTCTTTGAGTGGAGAATGGCTTATAATAATGATTTTGACTAATACGATTTTTGACATGCAACTTTAATGCTTAACCTTAGTACAACTCCAGAGCATTTCATGTGTACTCAGCTGTAAAGAGTGATGATTTAAAGGGATAATATAAGAAAAAGGTCGTTCTAGAATGAACCTCTAACAAATTGCATAAAGGGAGCTTATTATTCCATGAGTATGGGGATATGCTGCTCTTCTGATCATTTTTCTGCTTGGTTCAAAAAAAATTGTTGAGACATGAATGGGAAAAGAAACAGGAAAAAATGAAATAGAAATCTGCAAGCAAGGAACATTCTTTTGATGGTTATGATTTCGTTGCCACTAAAGAGGCTCTACAATAATGTGGTTATCCATCTCCTCTTTTGTTTTGGGTGAAGAATTCGCTCTAACAAGAAAATGCTGTTACTGGTTGGAGGCTTGCCTCCTGGGCCGGACCGGCTTCCCAGCAATTTGGTCCAGTACTATGATGATGACAAGAAGACATGGAAAATACTCACAAGTGAGTGCCCTTCTTTATTCATTTACCCACCTATTTATTTCTGCACAGAGCTGTCCTGATGGATTTGAAAACATGGTTAATCAAATTAGACATTTTATTGATTTGTTACCCTTTGGAGGTCTGTTTATGTATCCCAGGGGATTCAGAGTAAAAGACTAAATTAACATTGCAGAGGTGGCCAATTTGGTCGTGGAATACGCCTAAATTAAACTGGCCTAAAACCACTGAGCGAGTTTGTGTTTCTGTGAGAGAGAGGGGGTGGTAACTGAGATGTTCCAGAAGAGATTCTTCCGTTCTTTCTTTCTTCTTCTTCTTCTTTTTTTTTTTTTTTTTTGGCTTCTTGAAAAGTGAAAGTTTGGTTAATTGCACTAGGTTTTCTCATCTCTCAATGGTTGTTTCGTTCATTGTCTATGTAACTAACATGCCTTTTGCGTTTTAGGCATTTCTGCTCGTTAATCTTTAGTCTGTGGAACTGGGTCTTAGAGAAACACTCCCCTCTGTGGCTCCACATTTGGGATGGACAGACAGTCGGGGCTTGTCCCAGCTGCATTAAATTGTGCTTGCAGACTTCTGCCCACGATGCTCTTCCTCCCCTCCTACCAGGGTGATTGTGTTTTACAGCAAAACTCTTGCCTTGGGCACTGAGATTTGGAACTTATTGTTATATCGGTTATGATCCCCAATCTGACTCACTCATGGAATCAAAAATCATCATTTCTTGAGTGCAGCAGGCTGTGTGCACCAGGCCCCTCGTGGGTACAGTGGCTGCACTGGTCAATAAAACTAAATTTTAACTGTCAAAATTGCCCAGAGCTGTATAGATAAAATAATAAATGAGTAATTTTGATCCATAAATCAAAGCCATACATTTAAAACCGACAAAAAAGAAAGTTAGATTTTCTTATAGCATTGTGTCTTTGAAGCCATTATATATTTTATCAGCTTAAAAAAAAAATCAGTTCCTTTCGTCTTCCTAAAAGCCCTTGAAAATAATAGAAACAGGACAATAGTTTGCCCATAAGATCAGAAGAGGAGCACAGACATGTGAGGTGGTGCTTGAAATAATACGTTTCGGATCTGACTTACCCCAGCGAAACTGCCAGTAGCATTGTCCGGGGGCTACAACTAGGAAGCTCCCTGGACACCTATCCACCACGGCTGTGGTAAAGAAGTGGGGGGAATGATAGCAGCAAGCTTAAGGAGAAGGAAGAAAGAAAAAGAAGTTAAGAGGTGTCTTGAAATGTTTTTTTATTCTCGTTTTAACAAAAGCACTGTTAATAGTGAGTCAAACATCTCAATGAGTGACCAACCTGTATTTTTAAAGTAAAACCAAAGAATCAATGACCTGACACTTGATCAGTATAGAATGCCTACGCAGAATAAGACAGATATGAGGGGGAGGCAAGGAGAAGGAAAGACAAATATTCTTGACCGACAGAGACAGACAGGTAAGAGTACACTCAAGCAATAAGTGATATTCCTTCACAAAAACGTCTGTTTTTCCCAGATACGCCAGGCCAGGTCCAATTTGTTATTGGTTTGAAGCCTTTCATTAAAGGCAGAAAGGTTCCCTGAAGCATCATGAGTAATACCTAAGAAAAGTCTTATGTTCATGTTAAACCTTGTTTGGAGACAGTGATCATCCAATTTATTCTCCAAACTGGGACATTTTAGAGCGTGAAATGGGGACCCTTTGATTATGGTGGAGCAATAGGTATACATTGAAACATGTGGTCACCCTGCTCAAATTTTTTGCGTTGCCAGATTTAACTCTACCTAGAAGGATGTGGTAAGAAGGCATGAACTTGAATCTGTCAGACCTGATTCAAACCTTGAGTGTCTATGATCTTGAGCAAGGCATGTAAATGTTCCAGTTCCTGGCTTCTTCATTTTGTCAGCACCATTTGGGTATTTTTAGGATAAAGATGTGTTTAAAAGTCATCTAACACATTGCATGAGCTCCACAAATTGAAGCTATTATGACTATTATTGTAACACCACTACCAATATTAGCACAAAGATTGTGTATAGCTTTGTGCCCTACAGGTATTGGTCAACTCAGACCCTTCATGCAAAGGGGAGACAAATTACAACACCACAGACACAACACTTGGACCCCCTGTCCCCGAGTCAGGAGCCTGTTTTCCATGGTTTGCATATGTTGGATGTGGTAATTCACAGACTAAGAAGTAAAGATAAATGGGTACCTATCACCCATTCACCAGGTTTGAAATGGAAGGAAACAAAGATATTAATGTATAGACTTCTTACAATGGGAACATACTCAAAGATCTTGCACCTTTTTTCTATAGTCAGGCACGCTTCTAGCTCTGAAATAAATGTCTACTCCACTTACATTCTTCATTTCACTGGGACCTATACTTTAAAAAATAGAGTTTATTACCTGTTGGGCTGTGACCACATGGCCCCAAGTGAAGGCATATTTTTCAGGTTTGTTGGAGAGATATAGACAGCATACCTAAATGATCTCTGCTCTTGGACTGTATTTTTTAATTCAGGCATCTTATTTAATTAATAAATAAGTCAGGTCACTGACAGATTTCCACACTGTTTGGGCCATCTAACAATAAAGGAAGAAATTTTTCTCACTTGAATTAAAAATAAAAGAAATCCACATTCTCCCCCAAATCCAACGAAGCATTAGGGATTTCAGAGCTTCCCATTGACATTATTTTGACCCAGAAGAACTGCTAAAGTTTCTGGCAGGAAGACAAAGACGCTAAGTAAGGCTAGGAGATGGTGCCTGGTTGGGGTCTGCTCATTTATTAAATGGCTGTCTCCATACAAACTAACAAGTAAGCTGAGCTAGCAAACACCTAAAACTCGAGGTCAGCCAGAGCCTCTGAATCAGAGACTCTTTCGTCCACTTGACTCGAGCACACATCTCTCAGCCTGTCTCGCAAACACGCTCCTTTGAGAAAGATGCCATTCCCCAGAGAGGGGCATGGTCACTGTATGGGAGCCACACGGCTTACAGGAATTCTGTAACAAAGAAGAATGAAAAGGAAAGGCAGTCATCTTCTCTCTTTTCTCACCCTGTTATATTAAGTTTTAGGATCACAATTTAAGGGGTACACAAATAATAATAAATCAAATGGAGGAGGGGTGAATAAAAGTGAGAGAGTGGACCTATAGAACATAAAGAAAACAAAATCCAAGCATCAGCCAGTCTCGTCTACCTGAACAGCAAAGGGAACAATTGTTCTCGCTGAAAAGACTGTTTTTGGGAACATGCTGGCACAGATTGCGTTTTTATCCTCCTCCTCGGAAAAATCATTTAATGTAGCATTATATAATGAATGTTGAGAATGGTGTCAGAGCTCGGTGGTCTCTCTTAGAAAAGTATCGAGAAATAACATGCAAAAATGACTGTAACATCCTTTTGTCAGTGCGAAATGTTAAGTAGTAACAGTAAAATTGGCGTTGTTGTCCTCTTGAGTGTTAATAACGGACGGGAAGTTGAGATGCACTTTCGTTCATTTTTATTTTACAGTTCTGCTCTTCCCGCATTTCTCACTCCTGCACGCAGTCTCCCGTTTCATTCTTAACTTATTAGAAAGCAGTACAGGAGACATGAATACTAAAATGGCCAGTGCAAAAAAAAAAAAAAAAAAATGCCTCCTGTTCTTTGCAGGCCCCAAATCCTTGGTGCAAAGATCACACAAAATAATTCCTGTGGCTACTCTATGCTTTGGACAGTACCTTGCTTGCAGATCAAAGTTTTTATGAAGTCCGCACATAGAAGTGGTTTACATTCCCCACCCCCATCCCTAGAAACAGCACTAAGGAGCCATCTATTTTATTTGTCTTCTCCATTGGCCACATCCTTCACTGATGGGGAAAGGTGTTTCCTGGGGACTGACTTCCTTTTTCCTACATTTCAGATGAGAGAATCTACTTATTAGGTGACTGTTACTGCTTTCTGTGAGCATTGAGAAGGAAAGGAGTTCAGAACAAAGATCTGTACTTCCATGTGTCAGAGATGACTCCCCTTTCATAATGTTCAAACGAAAATTAGAAGAAATAGGTTAGCAAGGCTTCTTCCTTAGTTCGGCCACCTCGGTTCCCTTTGTCAGAAGTAGGAGAAAATGCCTGTTCCGCCCCTTCCCTTTCAGTTGATTTGCAGCTCTGTCCTCTACCTGGTAGTGCAAGGCTTTGGGACCTTATATTTCTTTAGTCACAAGAAGTAAGAGAACCCGTTGTGCCAGGGCTTCCTGGGTTGTCTTCTCTAATCCCTGGAGGACACTGAATGCGATCCCATCCACACAGGAGGGGCCCTGGGCAGGGTTTCAGCCATTTCTTTTAGTAGAGTCACAAAGATCAGAGGCTAAATATACTCTCCATAAAGGTTGAAGAAATAGTACCAAGAAAACAAAGTTTATAAAAGACATTGAACTTCAGTTCCAAAAGATAAACATAGGTTTGATCATATACAATATCCAATAATTGCTGATTATTCAGAAAATCATAAACCTGCATATTAATACTTTCCCCCTGGACGTTTTTCCTTAGCCCTTCTGTTTCTTGACTTTGGTTAATTTCTGTTCTTCAAGGATATGTTGGAGGAAAGTCAAGTTAATCAAAAGTGAATAATCATTTCTTACGATTATTTATTTAACAAGAAATAAAAAGTAAATTCAGTTGAGGGTTTTATACCTGTGGGTTCCCTTTACTTACATTATCTTTAGATCCAAACCCCACAAATTATTCAACTTTATTTCATTTCATTTCTAGAAGGTATGGAGACTCTGTAGGAAGTGCGTTTCTACACTATTGCAGGAGAACCTCAAAAAACAATCAGGTGCTTCCAAACGGACTCTGAAGCTGTCTGGGAAGAATTTAGACTTATTTATAGACTTCATTCCTTCATGTAACAAGCAATTATTGAATATACACTCTGTGCTGGGTGGGAGGGTAGAATGTAGATAACATAATCTCTTGAGAACCTAAGGAAGCAATTACAACAGAGTGTGCTAGGG